CTTTGGAGCTTTGTCTGTGGAAAGCTATATCATCATTCTTTTGGTTAATCCCCAATCATAAAACATTGAATGTGGAAAAACAGGCATGGAATATGTGAGACACTGGGCTAAAATGGGCCAGGGAAATGGCCACAGAGACCAGGATGAGAAAACAATTCACCAAAACCTAGTTTCCTACTCTCTTACTGCTTCTGTGTGTTTTGGGACATGGAAAACATGTTAGAGGAAGAAGGATTCTCAGCTTCCTTGTTGAATTTAGCTGTTTAGTTAAGTAAGTCAAGCATCCCACTACAGGAAGAAAACATCCAAACGACTGAAGAACATAAAGCTGTGAGGGGTGATAAACATTGGAGCACTGTGTCAAATTCCTTCCCGAGTGCTCATCACCAGGTGTATCTGAGAACTGGTTGGCAGTAATAGCCACAGCAGGATGCTACTGATGGACTTGGTGGAAGTGTGATAATGAGCAGTAAGGGGCAACTGTTAGTAGGCACTGGGCTGCCGTTGGCATGGTGCTGAATGTTAAATACTATTCCAGAATTCCTTCTTGTCTACAGAACAGGTTAGGACTAAGAATAGAGCCCTTTTATTAAAAGTTGACCAGAAATAAATGATTTCTGTTCTTTTACTCTATTTCTTTTCTCCTGCCTTCTATATTTCTCTTCTTTGAACAGTGAAGCATATACCTTCAATTAGTTTGAAAATTCTCGAACTTTTAGTCTCCCAGCGTGATTAGACCTGCTAAGAGTAACTAGTGTTTTCTATCTGATAAATAAGGGGATTACAGCAATAACTACTGTCAGCGTTTTTCTCATTTAAACAAATAAAGCTGACAAATGATGAAGTTCTGTGCTGTTCTGTTATGTTTAGTACACGCAGAGCAATTATTCATTTGCTGCCAACATTAGTCTACCTACAACTAAACCATCCAACAGTGTAGAAAGCTTATTAGCATATCAGTCCCATAGTCATATTTTTATATTCTGTAAGACTCTGCTCCATAACAAAGGCTGATGGTTATAATTTGCACAATAATTTAAAGGGTTGGACTTTTCCATACTTATTAGAGTTGCACAAGTTATCAGGTACAACGCTACTCTTATTTATGAGATGCCATCGTCGATTTGCCTGAGACTTTTGTTTCCCTGTAGCATTTCCTATGAACAAGTTAGCTGATATCTCTTGAGATGTAGAAGTAGATGGCTATTTCTGTAACACTATTGAATGAACTTCAGTGGGATACTGGGGATGGAGGTTTCTTTAAATACAGCTGGTTTCCATGGGTGTTTCTGATGTGTGGATATATATGTATTTTATACACACACACACACATATATATCAGACATTTGTATATGTGTGTGTACATATATGTACACACACATATATAGAATATATATAGAAAATATGTGCATATATATACACACATATAGGATATAGAATATATGTGTATTTATGTTATGTATATCACTAGACAGAGCCATAGTGAATATTTGAAAGAGAATATACTATTTTTTAAAATTTTCTCTTATTTAATAGAATTATTGTTTGTTATGGTAGAGAAGGGTATAATAGATACAAAATATTCATGATTTTCCAAAGGTTCTCCTGGAGGGGATGGTTTGACAGGACTCAAGACATCACATTAGAAGAAGAAGCCCTAGTCCCCAGAGAAAATGTCACTTTAGGGGATGGTGATATCACTGTGGGCTTATAAAGTAGCCTGCCATCCTGATTTTTCCAGAAGGGAAAATACACTTTGGAAATAGTTGGTTTATATTCGTTTTGCTTCTCCAATCCCGTGGGGAGACCCTGCAAAGGACCTGTAACTGAGCCATCCTAATGTTGAAATCGTGACTTCAACATTTTCCTCTCAACTGTGGTCAGTCTGAATGAGGGGCTGGCAAATGTCCTGATGACAACGGGGTGAGATCAGTTGGACATTTGTAGTGTGGGTCCATGGTCTAGTGTGTGTACTTTCCCAAACAAATGTACACTGTCTGACCATGTGTAATAGTTATGTTTTCTAGTTTCTGTATTTGATGCTCTGACATCTTGGGGTTTTGCAGACCCTGGAGGGACTGCCCTGCAGAGGGCTGGCTAATTCCTAGAGATAGCAAATAACTTGCCTGTGAACCTACCTTTCAAATGCAAACCAACCAATCCAGAGCCCATACCCCCAACCTCTTCTTTTGTAGAGCTCTTATAATCGGGGCCAAAATTCCACTGCCCTTATGCCAGGACTGGGGACCAGACAACATGGGACAGCTATTATGTCCCAGAGCCCACTGAAACTATTCAAGCTAGTCCATTCTAAACCTGCTTACTCTGCCTCTCCTGTTCGTACCTATGGAAACCACAATAATGACTCTTATCCACGACATTTTCCCCTGCCCCTCCTGCCTCCTCCCCAATCCTGGTGCTTCTTGGTGTGGCCCTACGTGGTGTGTGGTGCCTGCCGTTTCTAGGGATTTGGGAGTGTAAACTTCTTCCTTCATTATGGTCATTTCTAAGTCTGTGTGTCTTACCATACCTCATAAAAAACTATCCCAGCTACCCTTGGAACACTATAGTGCCTAGATTAAATCATAGCATATGTCGAGGTTTGGATGTGGAAACTCTCTGCTTTATAAACATGATAATTCTGAACCATCTTGAGATGGTGTTTATCTTCATTTCCAACCTAGAGGAAGCTGATAGCTTCGATATTCTTATAAGATGGAGAAAGTGAAAAAATAGAATTGTTCCCCATTAGCTTGAACACATTTCTGATATTTCAAGCTTATCAAATGCTTCTTTGATGAGACCCTGATTCCCACATGGTGGACGTATTCTATCTCAATAGGTCTCCTGTGACGGGATCTCTGGCCTATGTGACTCCATCCCCCACCTGGATGGACTGATGTGGTGTCTTCTCCTTTTCACTATCCAAAGTCTATCATCCACCATTTGCTTCTAATCAAAGAGAAAAATAGAAAACCAACCCTCTTCTCTATAGCCCTCTTCATTTATTCAGCCTCACTTTCTAATCCCAGGATGGGCACTGTGCTCCAGTCTGCTTCATGTCCTAGTAAACCTTTTTTTTTTTTTTTAATTTTACTTTATTCTCCCTTTCTGTGATAGTTTCCCTCTTCATCTGCCAACTCCACCTTCTTACCATTGTCCTCCCACTCCCACTTCTTTTGTTTAAGTGAAAGAAAAACAAAGCAGCAACAGTAACAATAAAAACACCTCTTAGGCTTCTTTCCTATTCGATGTAAGAAATGGCTTTCAGAACTCTGACAGGGGAGAAGGTGTACTTCTGCACATTGCACAAACAGGGGCAATGTGAATTATCAACTGTCATCAAGATGATTTTCTATATGTAGTACCTCCTACAAATTTAGAAAGTGTAACAAATTGTACATGATGATTTGTTTGGCCATAAAACTATGTCTCATCATACACTATAAATAACATGTTATGGACTAGGTAGAAGGGACTGTTTCCCCAGTCTGACTAATCCTACACCTCCACTCTTGTTCTTTAAATCCTACCACCACCCAGGATATAATCATGTTCCACCTCCTCCACCCAGAGTCCCTGCCTCATCTAGATTATACCGATGATTCTGTCCCCTGAATTCCTTTTGTACTTAAATGAAAAAGCATAGTTATGCACTTAATTTTTCTTTGAAGTTTCCATGTGGTAGTATTATTTCCATAATTAAGTATAAACACCCAAAATATGGGGACATAATTGAATTTTTGAGAGGGACTTGCGCATAGTGCTGGTTTCGGTATAAGACAGATCTAGGTTTAAACCCTGGATCTTCCATTTACAGACTGTGTTAGTGTGGACAACGACTCAGTCTCTCCAAGTCATAGTTGTCTCGTCTGCAAAGTGGGGGTACCATAGCATCTACCGCATCAGTGCATGGTGGAAATGTAGTGAGAGAATAGCGTTAAAGGCTGATGCCAGGCAATCAAGCAGAATTCAAGGAGTATCACCTCTTTTTCTCCCATGCTGCCGATCCCAGAGCCAGACACAACCTCAGCAAGTGTCTGCTGAATGGAGAGAGTATGCTGGCTTTAAACGCTGCTCCCTTGCTTGGGGTGATTCAACTGATATGGCTCATGAGGAGTGTGCCCTTTCATCCCTGGCACTCTATGCAATGTGACTATCCTTCCCAAAGAAAGAAAGAAAGGCTGACAGTCCTTGGTCAAAGGTTTGGAAGAAACTCACACTCCCCAGTAAGAAGCACCAAGCAAATTTTCTATTAGAAGGAGAATGCAAAGTAATAATAAAAATAATAAAACATTAAAAGATCAAGGTCTTCGTTTTAGCAATTTTGGAGAGGTGGCCTTGGCCCCTCTTTCTACAGAAGCCTCTCTTTTCTGTACCTCCGCAGGCCATTGCTACAGGGGCCTTCCTGTGTTCTCCTCTCAGGGCTTGGAGACTACCTTAATTCCATTGGTCTACCTCTCATTTGCTGTCTGGGGCCTTTGAAGCCCAGGCGTTGGCTCTTCTTGGATTCCCAGCCTGTTCACCCCTCATGCACATGCTTGCTGTCCCCTCTTTCTTTTAAGGCTTGCTGCTAGAAGGACCCCTCTCACTGCCATTCCTGGGAGTAGGGTCATTTAGAACCACCTGGAACTACATCTCTGGGATGGGTATGTTGAGGCCTCTTTAGCTTCTAGAACCCCAGTGGTTAGTTTGGTACTACCCTCCTCGTAGTAGAGTTTATGCTGAGAAAGACTAAGAACAAGCACTACATCAAGCTATGGTGAAAACCACTATGTTGTATTGGAGCCCCATTGGTCGGTGATACTTTATACTCCTTCCTTCCAGCCTACTCAGCTGTTGGAATTTAATTAGCAGTAATATATTATTGTCAAAGTAATTAAAACCTCGCCTTGATTAAAACCAGAATTGTTTAATTAACAAGGAAAGGTTTGGCCAGCCTTAAGTTTCTGTTTGAGAAATACAACGGCCTCAGTGGATTTTCTCTATCTTCCCATCAGGCTTGAAGGTCCGGGAGGTGTTTATCAACGTCACCAGGCAGCAGGTGGAGGACTTCCATGGCCCAGAGGACTATTGGTGCCAGTGTGTGGCATGGAGTCATCTGGGGACCTCCAAGAGCCGGAAGGCTTCTGTGCGCATAGCCTGTGAGTACACCCCGGGTGACCTTGTTGTCCTGTAGAACACGGGCTAGACTTACATAGAGCTGAAGAGGGGCTCTGATGCCAGATGCTTCTGCAGAATCTAGATTAGAGGACAGCAAGAAATCATCAGGACTGTCTCTACCTCTACGAAATTTACTCTTTTAAAATTATATGTTAAATCTTTGATAATTTCCTCTCGAGTACAATCAGCCAATCATTTTGGCTAAGAGATTCTACCTAGATTGTCAGAGCCCAGGTGTCTCAACAATGCCAGGAAGGATGGTGCCTGAGAGAAGGAAACGCACGCAAATGGATTCTGCTGTTCATCATTAGTGACAAAGTTCAAGGGGCATTGAGGGAAAAAGTTGAGCAATGACTGTTTACCGTACTTTCCAGCAAATCTGCAAAAAATAAGACATTAAAGATTAAGGGATTTTTATAGCCTGCTGTTAAACCTCTTTTCTCTGAATCTTAAAACATGGAAATAGGTTTTAAAGCTGAGCTTGAGTCAAGTAGAACTAAAAAAAAAAAGAGGAGAAAAGGAGATTACTTTGCAGGAGAGTCCAAGATTTCTTTATCATATTTTAGCATCAATGTTTTTATCATCTCACACATGTTTAGAAATACACAAACTTCCTTTCTCCTCCTCTAAAATGTCTTCATCCCACTCACCCGCATCACCCCACCCCAATGGGTTCCCATAAAACCTCCTTTGTGTGTCCAGGAGTATAAAAGCCCACCATCCCCGAAAGAAACTGAGAGATGGAGGGCAGAGATGGTTGTTGTTGTTTTATTCAAAAGCTGCCTTTTCAGAGTGCCATAAAGAATACAGGACGAGGGGGATTTATTTGAGGACTCGAGGAATTCTTCACAGCAGATGTCGATGGTTTCGGGATTAAGAATAGGAGTGAATTACTATTTGCAGAGACATTTATGTTTCTGGGGAAATGGAATCTTCCCCTCAAAATATGCATTTCACCTTCACTATCCTGGCGATTTGGGAGGCCCTTTCTTGGATGTTGACTGCGCCCTAATAAGCCAAAGAGAAGAGAACATCTCGTAAGCCGTGCCCTTGGTATAAGAGCCATGGGAAACATTTTTCCTGTAGTTATTTAGGTAGTTAATTTCAGCCAGCAAATACTTTATGACTTTAAAGGAGCAGGTCAGTTGAGAGAGGAAACGTGTTTGATTTTCTTCTCCCTTGACGTATCCAGCTCTGTGCTTCCCACATAGCTTCAGCCAGACTAGCCTGGGTATTTGACCCTAACTAGTCAGGACCCTAGTCAGGCTGAAGGAGATTATGCTCCTAGCTCTGTCCAAAGAACGGAGAGACAAACAGCAGCGGGGGTTTCAACATGGGTTCCCTCAATTTCCTTCTTCTCAATGTCACTTTTCTTCTTCCTCTACTTCTCTGAGGCCCACATGACCTATTGTTTGAATGGCTGTAAACAGCACCTCATTAATCTGTCCACCTCCAGTCACTCCCACCTCCATCCTTGCTCACTTAATTCCTGATTGCCACGTGCCTGCTGGAAACCTCTGGGGGTTTCCTCCTTCTTACTAAGTTTGGCAAAGAATGGCTCAAACTCTCCTTTGTTAATTTCCCATCACCTTTGATCATGTACACTATATTCATCTTTCTGAGCACTTTGCTATTCTGCGTATCACCCTTGCTTCTCTGGCATGTGCCTTTACTCCTGCAGTTTCCAGTTTCACACCCGTGTACCCTGGTGGTTAAGAACCCAGACACTAGAGTCCTGTTGGTTCCAGTTCCAGCTCCACTACTGAGTTTTGTGATGGTGGGCAATTTATTCATCAATCTGTGTCTTAATGTCTTCAATGATAAAGGGGTGCCTACTTCATAGAAATATTGCAAGAGTTATGGGTATAATCATGCACCACACAACAACTTTTTGGCCAAGAATGCACATATGACTGTGGTCTCATAAGATTAATACCATATAGCCTACGTGTGTAGTAGGCTATGCCATCTAGGTTCCTGTAAGAACATTCTGATGTTCGCACGACAAAATCACCTAGCCATGCATTTCTCAGGACATACACCGTCATTAAGCGACACATAACTGTAATGATGATAACTATAAAGTGCTTAAAACTGAACCCGGCATGGAGTTAGCGCCTATCAATCATTAGCCATTATTTTATGACATATTTGATCCTCCGTAGCATCATTGACCAGTAGGTGGGTTAATACTTACTGAAACTAATTGAACTGAATTAAAATTATAGTCCCTTAGTAATTTTTGTGTAGATATGGCTATATGGACTCTAAGGATCCTTTCTAGGCCAGTCCTAGGTATCCAACTCTCACAAGCATGAGAAGATCAAAAAATGTTACAAATGAAAAACACTTTTCTATCCCCTCCCAGCTTTCTAGAGTCATGAAAAACTTTTGTGGTAATAATCTCGCAAATCTCTTCCGGGATTAAAAAGTCATTGTGTAATTCTTGTATGTGTTATGCTCATATGAATATGATGTGACTTTTAAGTTTAAAAAACCCCTAGAATATCATTAAAATCTATGTTATGCAATTAATGTAGTTCTAATATTTGCAACATATTTTTAATTTCTTCCTGTGTAGCAAGTGACATTCTTTAATTTATTTAAAACTATTTATGCAAGTCAAGACATGATTTTTCATTAAATATTGCATTTGACTTGGGGACCAGTGTACATTAAAATGTAAATTGAAATTTAACTATGTTTAATGGCATCAAAAGTGGAGGGAAAAAACTGCCTTTAGGACCTTGCTTGGAATTCTTTTGATTTGCTTGTAGGAAAAAATGCACACTTTTTTTTTTTTGATAACTTTCATGTTTTGTTGAAATAAGAGATTTCTGGCTGCTATTTGCAAGCACTTCCCAGCAAATAACACATTGCATATGAGGACAGTCTTTATTCCCAATAAATGAAATGCTAAATTGGATATAATTGTCACTAGGTTTCTTCTTATTAAGATTAGTTTTTGAAGTATTAAAGACACGTTAATGGGCTAAATAAGGATTTTGATAGATGAATCTAGCTTATGAATCTGATGACAATTGTCTTAAGGCGACTTTGCAAAATTTGTATCATTTTTATATTATTTATTAAATTATTGTAGTTCAACGTCAGAGCTCCTTATGCTTCCTACATTTAACCAATGACCCATTAAGCATTTAACAATTTCAGAAGTGCAACAGGCAATATCTGCATGGCACTGGGGCATTCAGCTGAGGGATGTGTTGACTGGAGTGTCTTGACATGATCGTGTTAGCTAATCTCTGCAAAAATACCAGGAAGCTCACTGGTGTGATATCACTTAGAGATCATTTGGTTTGAAAGAGAAACAATATAAACACAATTATTTTATTTACTTATGTAACTCATATTTTCATTGAAATGGACCTACCTGGGGTTCCAGTTAAATATGCAGATTCCTGGCTTCCATCTGAGGCCTGGTAGATCAAACTCTAGGGAAATGACCAGAGAAGCTGTGTTTGTATGGAGTTATCCAGGTGATTGTACGGTCAGGTAATTCTGGGATGTCTTGCCCAGAAACAATGTTTCTCAAGCTTTAACATGCATGCAAATAAACTGGGGTTTTATTAAAATGCAGTTGATTCAATCAAAATAATTCAGTAAGTCCAGTCCACAGTCTGAGATTCTTTATTTCTAAGAATTCCCAGTTGGTCAGTGGATTATAATTTGAGTGGCAAGACCCTAGAAAACCTTTATGAAGCACTATGTAAGAAATGTTGATTAATCGCTTCATCCACCTTCATCGTTTAATGCTGAAAAAGCAGTGTTCAAAAAGGTCAGGTGACTTAACCAAAAGTCACCCAGCAGATGGCAGACATGGAACCAGATCTTAAATCATTTCATCCTCTGAGGGCTCTTGCTACTAAGCCGTGTTGATGCCTTTCTATTAGATGGGAGTTTGAGAACCATCATAGACAGAAAAGTTCATGTGCATTTGAGTGTTTCCTTGAGGAAAGTGGTGATTTCCTCTGCTGTTTCTGAGTAAATTGCGTTCCTCCTCGTGGTCAAGTTATTGCATATATTTATGTATGTATTTATATATATGTATATATTTTTAATATATGTTTTTATATATATAAATATAAAGTCTTACACCTTGCTGCCTTAGTGGCCAAAAAACAGTACGAGCTTTGTTTTAAGAGCCAAAGTGCCTGTCATCTTAAACTATTGTGTTTTCTTTAATGACTCCACACTGTGTCAGAGAGATGTTGTTGGCTGCCCATCCAACTGCTTGGGGCTAGAAATAGCTGAGGCCCATTTCAAAAGTAATTTTCTAAAGGTAAAAATAAATAAATAAAGCCAACCCACCAAACTGGCAGAAGTCCGTCTCTAGGGAGCAACTCCCACAGGCCTTCTCTCGTTTGTCTGATTCAATCAAGCTGGAGGTGGTTGGGCCACTGTGGCATCTGTTACTTCTGCTGCTGGATGGTTGTCAAAACTAGGAATATTCAATTATTCGTAGTTGTTTATTTTCATGGGTGAACATTTGGCTGCTTAGCCATTGCTATCTTTTCCCATTTTTCTCCTTCTTCTTAATCTGGGAAACATTTGCCTCGTATAGTCACATAGCAACTTGGCCACTTGCAATAAAACACAGTAGGAAACCATTGTTTTGTTGATTTTTTTTAAAAAACGATCTATAAAATAGGATACATCCTGAATATAATTCAAATATGCTGCTTGTTTAAGACATTCCTAAAATATCCGTGGAATTGTGCCAAGAATGAGTGAAGAGCTTAAAGGAGAATCTCATTTAAAAGCTATGACACTTTCTACCTAATTTTATAGGTACATAGTAAAAGAAGCATTATTTTTATTTGCATTTTTGGGGGTAATTGGTATCTTTTTTTAAAACTATAGAAGAAAGACATTGTATTAAAACCTCAATTATGAATCTCAGCTTCATGGCTTTGAGAAATAATTTCACCTGATAAAATCTATCAATGGACCCCTCTTGATG